AGCTACTAGGAACAAGGGCATTGCTACTAGTAACAAGAAGCTACTAGCTTGGAGATCTTTTGGATCCCTTCCACCTCCCGATTTCCCCGGTCGCTGGGGCCACAGGCCGAGGGGCGTCCCTTGGATCGTTTCGCCTACACCTCGGTGCTGGGCGCCTTTGCCGACGCGGGCAACTGCGAGCGGGCCGAGGCGGGGGCCAAACAGTGAGCGGGTCCGGCGGCGAAACGGCTGCGAAGGCGGCTGGATGGCTTTCGGAAGGCGACCATCTTTCGGGAAGAGGGGAAGGATCTTTGATTCTTCAGGGTGAACTGTACTTGTTTTTTCAATGCAAAAGTGAGGGGGAATGTTAGCTGTTAGCTGGTCAAAGCCGGGTTGTCATGTTGAATCCTCCTCCAATTATGATGCCATCATGATATCATGAGGATTGACGAATAATAGGAGAACCATCAGGCCCGCGCGTAACACCACGTGTTCCTTGTTCCGATCAATGATCAAACGGGCCCACACTCCGACACTCAGACACGAATTCCTCAAGCTGACTGTAAGTCTCTCACCCGTGCAGCGCAAAGATGGGGCGTGAAACCTTTGGTCCATCTTGTCAGCGGGACCATTTCCTTTGCCTTTAGTGCCGTACTAGGCGTTACTAGGCAAGCAACACAGAGGAGCATGAACAATCATGTTTTTTGGTAGACAAATGCTAATCTGTTTATGTTCTGGACCTATCATGGTGCTGGTAGTTGGCGCTTGCAGAGGCAATGACGGCCCAGAGTGTATTGAGTGTATGGGGTCTGATCCGATTATCTAGACAATCATATCGAAGGACAAGATTGATATCATCAAAATCCATCAAAAAGGAATCACACAGCACCACCGTGAGTGCCGTCGTTCGACTCACCACCAGGTCACCATCCCATGGAACTCACGTTTACCGACCTGGTCGTACTCCAAAAACTATTCAATGTACCCCCGATCAATCCATCCCATTCTCGGTGAATGTTCTTTGGCCTTTTGAGGCTCAAAAGGATTTGGTCCACACCAGACCCCGTCGCCCACGAGGCACTGCTTGAGAGAGCGGACTCGCAAGGGCACCGAGGTGATGTGGCGGCGCCCTGGGCAGACGGACAGAGCGAGTGGCGCGTGGGCGGGCCGAGGTGAGACGCCAGTGGTGGATGCCCAGTAGCTCGTGATAGAAAAGACTTTACAGTCTGCTCTCTCATTGTCCTGCCGTTGGGGCTTTTCGGTTTTTCTATCTTTTCGGGGATTCTTCGTCCGCCCTGCAAGGGAATGTGCGTTCTGCGCCCAAATCTTCAAGGAACCGTGTTTTTGAGTGGCAACTCTGCTACAGGGATATGAAGCGGACACTCTATGTCAATTCCTACACTGTGATTTTCCAGTCGACATGAAGATTATATATACATATATATTTATACAATTAGATATAATATATATATATACAGTATTTAGATTGAAGATGAGTGAAGTCATTGGTGATGTGAACGATTGGACTTGGTTCACGGCCACAGTTCGTTCAACCAATTCTTGCGAGAAGTGACTGGACTCGACTCTACCACCTCCACCCTGTGTGATCCTGTCGCGATTTTCCATGTTTCTGAACAACTCCAGCCAGCAAAGCAAGCACCTACAAATACCACTACCCCCAAAACAAAATCAAAGGGTCCCGGTTGGTCCTTGACTATCAGGCCTTGACTCCATTTTCCCCTCTGTTTTTCAGTTTTTGCAGAAAAAGGGATGGCCTAAGGCATACAACGCTTTGCTGAAGGGTCTGGTGCGGAAACGAGACTTCGAGCCACGCGTGGAGCGCTACCTGCAGCAGATGCGGCGAGCGCGGCTAGCGCCGACGCCCGATTGGTGAAAGAGACACGGGGCGCCCGGGTGGAGTGGAGGTGTGACCGTAGACTACGGTGTACAGCTGGTGAATTAATGGTTACGAGTTACGAGTCTATATCATATAATATAATATATATATATATTTTTATATTGATGGATTCTGGATTGGTCCAAATGGTGGAGGTGTTTAGTTATATTTATGACCCCCCCCATTTGGATCGTAACAGCTCTTTTAAGAAAAGAGTTTACATTGGGTTTTAATACCCCTCCAAAGAACGAGTGACCAAACCCTCCAAAGCGGTCAAGGGCACGGGCCTCATCTCCTCGATCATTAAGCTTCCTCAATGTGAGGCTCTCCATCTCTCCAGCACTCAGGGTTCGTACACGAAGAGGTGTTCATTGAGGTAGCTAACAATATGCAACTGAAAGTCAATAGACTGCGTGTGAAACCTTTGAATAGCTGCGCATTTGACTTCTTCTGCAGGGTTCTGCTGCTCGAATGTGGTTGGATGGTCAGGGGTTCATCCGGATCTATGGATTGGCCATTCACGAAACAGCAGTGGAGACTCAGGTGGTGCAAGTGAAGGGTCCTTTTCCTGCTCCATGTTTCCCAGTCATTTTGGACTCGGAGCCTTCTGTATTCTTAGACCAAAGGCCAAAGCCTTCTGTATCCAACACCATGTGGATGTCCTGAGACACTGTGCACATGGATGTCCAACTAAATTCAGGCAGCTTTCAGGACGTCGCAACCCAAACACCTTCCTGAGCGGCCCGCCCTCGTGGTCTCAGGAACGAGATCACATACACCACCATCCTGGGTGCTGCAGACCGCAAAATGGTGGGAAAACGTGTGGCTCGGGGTGTCGATATCTCGGGGTGTGGAGCTTCTCATTACATACTATTTTTTGTGTGATGCAAAGCCCTCAGTCTGGCCACCAAAGCCCTCCAAAACCCACAAGCTTCTTCTGAAAGACTCAAATCGCCTCTTTCTCCAGAGAGGTACCTGTTTGACTGTTTGAGGTGCCCTGGTACCATCTATTGAACTTGCCGTTGATGTCAGTGAACTAGAGAGGGAAGAGCCGCTGTTGGGAATAGCAAAAGAGATGTCAATACCAATCTTCTGGTCATTTCTTACACATGTAATTATATATATATCATTCACCTCAGTGTCCATTCTTCCTAACAATCACTGCGATTCCGGTCGAACAGCTTGTGAACGCAACAGGCTGGGTCGATGAGTCTCATGCCCCGACTTGCTCCCTCCACGACATCGGCCCTGACTCGGCTCCCAGGCGCTTCTGCTGAGCGAGGCCAAGAGGCTCAGGTGGAGAAGTGGCTGCAG